ATTTGCTTAATCAGTGAGTCATGAGTACTCATTAGAGATATCATAAGTGAACTCGGGAATGGTCCCTTTCTTCTGCCTTGGTGTAGCCGGCACTTTAGAATCAGAATGCATAGGTGCTGTCATCTTAGTCATGGCCCGTGGACAAGTCATTTCACTTCTCTCAACTTTGGACACTTATCACATATACAAAAGATGAGTGGAGAAAGTGCTTTAGTACAGCATTTCACACAAAGCTCAATTAACTTTTTTTTTTTTGGTGGTACTGGGGTTTTAACTCAGGACTTTGCTAGGTAAGCACTCTATCACTTGAGCCACACCTCACTCTTTTTGCTTTATTTTCAAATACAGTCTTGCACTTTTGCCTGGGCTGGCTGGGACTGCAATCCTACCACCTCAGCATCTGAGTAGCTGGATTATAGGCATTAACCACTATGCCCAGTCTCAATGAATGTTTAACTCATTCTTAGGTTTCTTCCATCAAGCCTATAGGACTAATTTTCCTGGTCACCTTTTTCCTGCTCTTTGTTTTTGGCAGTACTGGGGTTTGAACTCAGGGCTCTACCAATTGACCCATGCTCCAATCCTTCTCCTCCCAATCCTTCCTACCTTTTAAGTCAGGTTTCTGGGTCCAAATGACTTCTGCCAAGGGCCTCTTGAATCATTCAGGAGGTAGTGTGATGCAGAAACAATCTAAGTTTCAACTCTGACACTGTCATTTTGGAGATGAATTTGGATCTGCTTTCTACCTGAAACTCTTATGTAGGGTTTCTCTGAGGATTAAATATGTAAGTAAATTGGATGACACTCAAAACTCAATAATTATGACTTGTCTGGTGAACAAAAAGTACCAGAAATGCCCCTGAAAGCCATGTAAGTGATCATATTGCCCCCCAGTGGACAAGGGAACACACAGCACAAAGCCACTCCAAAAGACGGAGTCAACTCTCTCCTGTGAGCAAGTGCTAGGGAGCACACTTTACATGGAAATATTCAGGGCACATCTAGACCAGAACTACATTGAGATTAACATACTTGTTTGATGCAGATCAACTCTGACTCAATAGTTTTGGATTGGGGGCAAAATCTGTAATAGGCCTCCAACGTGATACTGATGATAATCCCTCATAGGTCATTCTGAGTAAAGGTCTGTAACATAGCTGTGACATAACAGGAACTATTTATTAAGTGTTTGCCACATGCTAGTTAGCAAGAGCACTGGCTGGCCTATTTTAATGTACATAGTCCTGCAGCTTGTGGCAGGTTAGGTGCTATTTATCTCCATTTTCCAGATGATAAAATGCCAGCACAGAAAGTAGACTGCTTCATCACACAGCCAGTGAGGAGTAAGCCTTGGGTTCTAGTTTAGGTAGCCTGACTCAGAGTCTACTAGGAGACTCCAGTGTGCAGTATGACCTAAGGGGCTGGGGAGAGGCTGCAGCAGGAAACCAGCAAGAGTACTGAAGTGACTTAGGTGAGAGAGAGGTTAGGGTAGGAAGGAAAAGGAGGACATGATACAGAGAATAAACAGGACTTGGTGGCAGACTGGATATGGGGATAAGAAAGGGAATAGTCTCTCAAAGGGGGGAGGGGATGTTTTCTAGGTGTCTGGTTTGAACAACTGGAGACTTGGTTGTACTTACCCCTAATTGACCTATGAAACACAAGAGCAAGAACAAGTTTCAGGAAGAAGGTGAGGTCAGTTTAAGAAATGGTCAATATGAAGTGGCTCTTGGTCACCTGGGAGAGACATGAGGATGTAGGCGGACCTACATGTCTAGAGCTCGGGAGATGATCTGGGCTGTGGATAAAGCTTGGGTGTCGGTATCAGTGAAGCTACCCATGAGTGACTGAGGTCACACAGGCAAACTGCCCTATTCTTGGCCAATGGAGGTGATGGGACTGGATTATCGGTTCCCTGGATTACAGTGAAGACTGATTCTGTCCATTCCACTGGCGTCAGATCTGGGGGAGCAGGCAGAACATAAGTGACTGATGGCCTACAGGGCAAGAGGTTTTTGGAGTTCTGTGATAACTAAGTCTAATTTATCTGCCCTCCTGCCCATTGATCAGCAAAAATAAGGACAAATCCATAGAATAAAGGTTGGGAGATATTTATTTTCTTTAAACAAAATCATAAATAACAAAGAAACAAAGTAGGTCCCAGACTCTGGACCATGCAGCAGGACAGGGATAGGAAGTTGTTGGGGTGAAAGGTGGAAGGGGCTACACATCACCTAAGACAGTCACAGAAAGAGGGGCTTTAGGAGACTCCCCCTCCCTGCCCTTGGAAATGGTGTGCCTGGGCAGCAGGAGGAGGCCGCAGTGCTGTGATGAGGCAGCTGGACGAAGGCAAAGACTGGGGCAACTTGGTTGTAATGTTTTTATGTAGAGTGACATGAAATCACAAACGGCAACGAGAAGCTGTGGGTCTAGAAGAGGCAAGCGGGTACTCTGCGCACCTCCAGGGAACAACTATGAAAATGGTCAAATGTGATTATTAGAAACTATTCCAGAGGCGTTAGCCTGTGGCTTGTGCATGGGCTGTATTTAACCTGGGTTGCTCTGTGGCAAGCAAGGGCTCAAGAGGCCCCTGGAGCAGCCTGGCCTCAGCCCAGGACAGGTGCCCAGACATGTGGGAGAACAGCGGCTCACCCAGATGGGAGGCCAGGTGTTTGGGCTGTCTAGACCTAGTTTTCAGGCTGGTCTCTTGTGGTGCTTGGCCTCTCTGGGTCTTCCGATCCTGGAAGAATAAGACTGGGATAAAAAGGTACCTGACAGGTGTTTTATTTGAATGGGAAAAATAAGGACCACTGTGTACACTGTCCATCCCCTGAGGAGGGCAAGACTGTGCCAAGAGCAATCTCAAGGAATGGAGGTCCCTGAGCCTGGAGAGACATTTGTAACCAGGTGCACTGCCTGACAGCAGGAGTCAGAGCCCAGAGTGGTAGTTCTGGAGGCTTTACCCTAGGCAAGGCAGGGAGAACAGGCAGAGACTACCCCTTTACAGGTTAGGGGTAAGAGCTGGAGACCCTGAAGTAGGCAGACCCATGTTGGACAAGGGCCCTGGAAAACAATGCTTTTGGCAGGTGTACACAAAAGGGTTTGTGCATCTGGGGACGCCCATCTACAAGGAGCCGGTGGCTGGGCAGGAAGGTGAGGAGGAGACAGCAGCATCACAGTGGCCTCTGGTGCGACGTATTTACAACAGAGCTCAATGTATAGGGAGGGGAAGACGGCAGGTCACTAACAGCCAGGAAACACACTGTCAAGAGTAGAAAAGAGAAGGGAAAACAAATTTAAGCTCCCCTCCTCGTCCAGCTTATCCTGTCTCTTCTAGGAAGTGCTTCCTAATGACCACCAAGGCCCCTGCTGGTCTGTCCCATCTCTTCACAGCTCTACCCAGATCCAGACAGAGGGTCTGCTCTCAGTGTATAGCTCATTTGACCAAAGCTCCAAATGGTTCAGGGAACCCAATCAAACACTGTTTATTAAGAGAAATTAAGTCTTCATTGATGATTTCTGGGATCCATCAAGGGTCATTTGCTAGAGGGATGGTACAGCATAAGAGTGTCACTTTTGTGGTTCACTGTACCAGGCTCCTGTCATCATCTCTGTTGTCCATTCTGATCTTCTAGGCCTAGTGTTCAGAGTTGTCTAAGGCAGAAAACATTTCTTCTTCAAACTCTAATGAGGGTGGTGAGCAAGTTCTCTTGAATCCTCACCAAAATCAGAAAAGAGGCTGTCCAGTGCCAAGAGTGACACCTCATTTGATTTACTGGCTCTCTGAAGAGCAAGAGCCTTCTGCAACACAGACTAGGAGCTCAGGAGGCAGGCCAGGACTGCTTGGTTTGGGTCTACATGCCTCTCCTTTCTCCTCAACAAAGAGCCCAACTACTCAGATGTATCCCTAATCAGATGAAGAGCTTCCTAGGATGAGAGGCCTGGTCTACTTTCTTGCTAAAGACCAGTGGTTTTCTCACTTTTGCTTCCCTTGAGACACCTGGAAACGTTTTTGGTTGATAGAACTATGTGTAGGAGGTTCTATTGGCATTTTGTAGGTAATGCCAGGGATATGGTTAAACATCCTACAGTGCACAGGACAGACGCCTTCCCCCCCAAAACAAAGAATTACCCACCCTAAAATGTCAACAGTGCTGAGATGAGAACACTGCTCTACATTTCCACACAAACTCCATGTCTTGCCCAGCTCTGCTCAGAAGGAGGCAAGACCTCTCTGGATAAGGAATGATTGCTATCCCAGCCAGCCACCTCAGAGAAGGAACATCTCAAGAAGAAACGTACATTGCAGTGGGGGTGGAAGACAAGGCATGACTGCACCGCAGCCAATGCCCCACTGGACCAGAGCACACACAATTGGGGTGACTTTGTAGAAACACACACCAGGCTCTGTGGTGAGGAGGAGGAATACAGGCTTTGTGATCCAGACTAGGCAGGGCTCAGGCAGAAACAGTCACAGGCTTGCAAATACCTGAGCTTAGGATAGACCAGCACTTCTGGGCTCTTATACCCTTGTACATCCTTACGACTGGAATCCACCAATGGGCTCAGCAAACCTGTGCCGGATCAGGGAAGTGGCAACAGCTTCAGCTACCTGAAAAGGAAGAGATATTCCAGGCCTTATGAAGTGATGGTGCTTAGCTTTGGAAGTCCTGTGGGCTTCAGTTGGAAGATTAGGCTCCCTCGTGTCCTCTTAAATCCCCTCAGTGTAGGTAGCTTGAAATCAAAAGGACATAGGCTAGAAGACTCCTCCCTTCCATCCTAGTGATAGCTCCAGAGAGGTCAAGAGGAATGAGGGCTTATTTACCCCATTACAAAATGGACTGGTGGAGTGGTTTAAGCAATAATAGCACCTGCCTAGCAAGCATGAGGCCCTGAGTTTAAACTCCAATGCACCAAAAAAAAAAAAAAAGAAGTTACAGAATACCCCTTTCCCATAGGAGTCCATATTAATTTCTAACTATGAATTTAGGGTACAGCTTCTACCCTCAATCATCCTTCTTCCATCTGGTTTTTAGGAGTAATGAAGAAGCAGAGCTTAAGATCTTAACTTTAGGGTCCTGGGATGAAATAGCAGGGTGCCAGCAGCTCAACCCAGACAAACAAAACTAACAACCATAGGCAGTTGCCAGGAAGAGCTTGGGAAGCTGGTGGAATTGCATAGGCCTCTAGCAGCTGCTGCAGGTAACGTGGGCTGAGACTTGGGCTTTGCCAGCTACGGTACTCACACAGTTGCTGTTTTACAGTCATTAAGCACCACATTCACCTTGTCAGGGGCGTCCTCATGCACTGCATGGCCACACTGAGGTAAAACCTGCATCTGGAATTTCCCTGGAGAGGAGACAAAGCCAGACAAACTCAGAGACTAAAGAGTCCTCTCCATACCATCTCTGCAGTCTCACAGGTCACTTTGGGAGCCCAAGACCTTCCCCCGCAAAACTCTGGTTCTAATTACCAAAATTTTGAGGAGGATTAACTTGTAACTTGTCATTTCCATAAACAGGCTGGAATTACTGTTTGCTTTGTATCCCTAACAGGACCCAACACAGGGCTGGGGCACTGAAGAGGTGCTTAGTAAGTCTTGGATAAATGAATGAATGACTAGAGCCAAAACTTGTAACTCCAATCCCTCTGGTCTTTCTATTAGACCAGCCTCTTTGGAACTGTGGAAATAAGTAATTGGGAGAATTCCTACATACTAATAACTCTGTGCTGGGTACACATAAAGTAACACGATCAGAATAATCCTCACAATTATTCTATGAGGTGGGATTATTTCTAAACTCTCCCAATTCACAGACCTAAACTATTGCCTAATTTTTTTACCCAAACTGTATCATGAACAATTGGTGGGTTTCTAAGATCTCATAACAAATTCAGCTGATTTGAACTTAGTGCTGGGAAAGCTGTAGAATCTATGCAGACTTAGCCTTTTCCCTTTATTCTATGTTATAACTCCCAACCTAGTCAATTACTCTCTATACCTATGGTATACATTATTCAACAGCAAGGTGGTCTTGGCAGAGACCACACTGAAGAATTAGGAGGGCATCTAATAAGTATATTAGCTATAATATGCTTGCTGGACACAATGAAAGGCATTGTTTGTCAGATTCTTACTTAACCCAAACCTTCTCATTTGAATCTCATATACTTGTACTGAGATATATCACTATCTACACTTTATAGATGGAAAACCCAGGATTAAAGAAGTTGGCAATTCATTTAAGCCACACAATCAGTAATAGTGATTCAACCCCAGGACTGTGATTCCTAGGCTGGTTGGTGATCAACACCGATTTAAAATGCTATTCCAATCAAGGTCAATTGCTTTCAGAGAGTCTCAGGGACCTTGTCAGTTTTCTATCTCCCCAGCAGCAAGCATAGGTCTTGCTCAGAAAATGTGGCTTAGGAAAGTTTTGCTTGAATTGAATTTTAGCACATCATATCTATGCCCAGAGTGACCACCAACAGTGCTATTAAGGTCACAGCCCCAGCTCATGGTCCTGCCCCAGGTCTCAGAAAGCAAAAGACACATGAGTCTGGGAACAGAATTTTATAAGCCATTCAACAGTCTTTGAAGAACTATTATGAGGGAATAGAGTTATTTTCTGTGTGGATGACTTGAGAGAAGCTAAAGGAACAGTTTGAGAGACATCCAAGCAGAGTTTGATGGGCCAGGACTAGAGCTCAAGAAACAGGGGTAAGTAGGACATTTAGCTTTGGGAGTAATCAGGGTTTAAATGGAAGCCATAAAATCATCCAGGGAAACTAAGTAGAAAAGAAAGAAGGTCAAGAACAAAATTTGCTTAAGCCTGAAACCTTCATCTCAGAATTGGCACCAGTTCTTCCATAACCCCCAAAGCTGTGATGCCTGCTGACTTCACCTTCACCAAGTCTTTCACTCAGACTAAAGCAAGAAACTCTAGAAAGTTGGTCCCACTGTCATATGGCCCACATGTGCATAGTACTTAATGTGTCTCTTTCCTACTCATTATACCTCATAATCCCTTTAAGGCTAGCATTGATTTTTCTCATTTTATACAACAAGACTCAAGCTGAGGGGGGTCAAGTAACTTGCCCAGGGTAAAAAAATTAGTAGAAAAACAATATTCAAAACCCATTTCTTCCAACTTTGGAGCCCTTGCTTTTACCACCTCACTATGCTATCTTCTAAACAGATTTTTTTACCCTGGTATCTGGATTATTTTGGATATTTCCCTTTCCTAAAAAAATTCTAACAATGTGAACATCTCTGTTCACATTAAATACCTACATAGTAGTTTATGGTTTTAAAACACACTGACTTATTTTAACCCTTAAAATTGAGACATAGGCAGTTATAGTTCTCATTTTTAGTTGAAGAAAAAAAGACAATCACTGTTCAGAAAGGGAAATATTGCCTATAATCATGGTGAGTCAGGAGAAGAGGAGGATGTCAAACATAGGTTTGACTCTAAAGTTCATGCTCTCTCAATTATACCTAACCATTTACATTACTGCCTGTTTCTTTGCCCCAGAAAAGGGTCCAAGGCATATATCCAGAGGAGTGTAAATCGATATATTAGGAGAGATAATTGCATATCTATGTTTATTGTAGTTCTGTTCACAATAACTAAACCATGGAATCAGCTGAGGAGTCCAACAATTATACATAATACAATACTACTCAGCCATAAAGAAAAATGAAATTATGTCATTTGCTGGGAAATGGACAGAACTGGAGAACATGATGTTGAATGAGATAAGCCAAGCTCAAAAACCAAGTATCACATGTTTCACTCATTTGTGAATTCTGGACCTAAAATGATGATAATGGGACATGAATGCAAAAGGTGGATGGTCTGGGAAGCATATGGGAGCGGAGAGAGAAGGAAAGATACTGAGGGGTGAAGAGGATCAAATATGCTACATATGTATATATGAAGACAGCATAATGAAATCCACTACACACTTTGAAAAAGGAAGAAAGTAGAGAATGGGAATACAATGAATGGGGTAAATGTGTTCAAAAAGTACATTGTATGCATGTATGGAATCACTACAATGAAATCCTCTTGTATTATTAATGTATGCTAATTCAAAAATATAATAAAACTATTTTAAAAATAAAATTAGCAAAAGAAAGAAAGAAAGAAAGAAAAGGGTACAATTTCTGGATAACTTACCCTGCATCTGGCCAATCATCAGATCTTTATCCAACCTATCAACACCTAGAGCAAAACAAGAGAATCTGTAAGTAGCTCACTAGGAAATGCCCTGTGAAATAGATTTTACTATTCAAACACTAAATAAAACTGTTACAAAGCTGTAAACATGGCGACATTCTCAATTCATGTTAACGCCAATCCGAACTCCCAGAGTTTGCAGTCATGTGCTCATTTAAAGATGAGGTTTTACTGTTTTGAGTCTCAGAACATTCAGAATATTCTTATCCTACTGAATATAGTGTTAGGAGGAAGATTTGGGCCATCCTGTTTGGATGCTTATGCTTAGTTAGGTTAGGGATTGGATATGGAGAGGTAAAGGGTACAGATGAGTGAGGATATTACTTTACTTTGGAAGTCACTACCCAGTTGGCTAGCAGTTTTAATGAGGTGACCTCCAGAAGATAATATACTCACACTAGATGGATTGAACTATGTCCCCCAAAATTCATATTGAAGTCCGAACCCCGAATGGGACTGTATTTAAAGACAGGGCCTATGAGGAGGTAACTATGGCTAAATGATGTGATAGGATTAGTGTCCTTATGAGAGACACCAGAGAGCTGGGTCTTGCTTCCTCTTGGCCATGTGAGAGTACAGACAGAAGGCAGCTATCTACAAACCAGGAAGAGATCTCTTCCCCAAATTCAATCTTACTGGTAGTCTGATCTTAGACTTTCAGCCTCCAGAACTGAGAAAATGTGCATCTGTTGTTCAAACCATCCAATCCATGGTATTTTGTTATGGCAGCCAAGTTGGCTAATACACACACATACACTTACCAGCCAAGAGCAGCAATTTAGGAATAGGACAACTAAGAAAGAGATTGGATAAGCCTCGGAACCAGTCATCCCAGTATTTTTCTGTTTTTGCCAGTTCAATTCTCCAGGAATATGGATGGTCTTTCTTGGTCTGCAGGAATAAGACTCAGGGATTACCCTGAGTCTCCAAGGGTAATCCCTGAAGGAACAAGATAAAAACTAGGTTCCTGGAGAAAGGAAAGGAAAAGAAACTAGCACTTATTAAGGACCTACTATATCTAGGACATTTTAATATACATTTAATCCTATGAACAGTCTTGTGTAGATTGTATTTCCATTTTTAGACAATTACAAGTTTTCTTTTCATTCTTACTAGTTTTCTTTCCCTCCTTCCTTTTCTTTCTTTCTTTCTTTTTTTTTTTAAAGAAAAAAAAGATTTTGGGTCTCACTGAGTTGAGGTCCAGGCTGGGCAAACAACTAGGCTCAAGCAATTCCTCTTGCCTCAACCACCCAAGTAGCAGGGACTACAAGTGTGTACCACACCACCCAGATACTTCTGTTATGTTTAGGAACTTTATTAGGATCAGGAAAGTAGCTGGGCACTGGTGGCTCATGCCTGTAACCCTAGCTGCTCAGGAGGCAACGATCAGGAGGATCGTGGTTCCAGCTAGCCCAGAGAAATAATTCGCAAAACTGTATCTCAAAAATACCCAACACAAAAAAGGGCTGGCAGAGTGGGTCATGTGGCAGGCATGAGGCTCTGCGTTCAAACTCTAGTACCACCAAAAAAGAAAGAAACAAACAAACATAAAAAATTGCAGGGGCTAAGATAGACCTTTTCTTATACCCAGTTGGAAAAAAGGGAAAGATCACGTTATGGTATACAAAATGCTTATGGTATAATATTAAGTGAAAGAAGCAGAATACAATGTATCGTCTAAATCAGAATTGCTACTGGACAAATGTGGTATACATATGGGAAAAATATGGATGGAAAAGTTGAAAATAGCTTTATTTGTGGGTGGAGTACTTTTTTCTCACATTTTGATTCATGATAATGATATAATGCCCCTACAATAGTAATTCTAAGAAGGAGGTATTATATAAATATGAAAAAGTATCAATGAAAAAAATGTCATGTTATATCTTGATAGTTGGAAAGAGGATGGGCACACAATATGCAAATATTAAGTGAACAATAGATGATTCTCTACACTTTTCTGCATTGTTGAAATAGGTAAAATATTACAATGGAAATAAATCATTGGTGTACTACATCAACCACATCATAAAAATCTACACGTGAACATGGGACAGTGATGTATTGTGTTAAAAATTTGTGATTAAGTTGTCTCCACTACCCAAAATAATCTATAGATTCAATCCCTATCAAAATTCCAATGACATTTTAAAAAGATGTCTTTAAGATCTTAAAATCATATGCAATCTCTTTTTAAAAAATCATATGTAATCTCATGAGATCCTGAATAACCAAGTATTTTCAAGAAAAGGAACAAAATTAGAGGACTCACACTCTGATTTCAAAACCACTACAAAGCTGCAGTAATTAAGTTTAGTACTGGCATAAAAACAAACAGACCAAGGGAATAGGATAGAGAGCCCAGAAATAAACACTCAGATATATGGTCAAATGATCTTAGACAAGAGTGTCAAAAAGACCACCCAAATGGGAAAGGACAGCCTCTTCAACAAATAGTGTTGAGATAAATAAACAAATACATATCCATATGCAAAAGAATGTAGATATACAGATGAATGGTAAGTATATTAAAGAATTTGACATCAATAGTCATTAGGGAAATTTAGATCAAAACCACAATCAGAGCTGGATGTGGAGGCACACTCCCATCAGTACCTGGGAAACTGAGGCAGAAGGATCTTCAGTTCGAGGACAGCCTGGACTATACAGCAATACCCTGTCTCAAAACAAAACAAAAACCAAAACCACCCACTAGGATGGCTTAGCATCAGAGAGTTACAAAACAGTGTTGTTAATTACAGAAGCTTCATATACTACAGATGGGAATGTAAAGTGTTGCAACTCTTCGGAAAATAGTTCTTCAAAAGTTACACATAACTCCACTCTTAGGTATATACCCAAGAAAAAGAAAAGCCTGTATGTCCACATAAAAAGTTGCAAACAAATGTTTGTAGTGTTACTTACAATGGAAAAGAAGTGGAAAAACCCCAAATATTCATTAACTGATGAACGGACAAAAAATACAGCATATCCATATAAAACGGCTAAAGACGTAAAAAGAAACAAAATACTAATAAATGCTACAACATGCTTGAAAACTTTGCACTTAGGTAAAAGAGGCCAGTCATCAAAGACCACACATTATGTAATTCCATTTATATTTAATGTCCAGATTGAGCGAATCTTTGTAAAGACAGAAAATAGATTAGTGATTGCCTGGGGCTAGGAGAGAAGTGGCTGCTAACAGACGCTCATTACTTAATGCACTTCAGTTTGCCCTGTGAGCACAACTGCTGGGGCTTATAAAACCATGTAATGGTATTTATTTAAGAAGTGCAAAGAAAAAATGAGTTGGAATTAAAAATCGAGGCTCTGGGTATGTTTTAGTTCTAACTCTTATGTGTGACCACGGGAAGTATCTGTATCTGAGGGATAAAAGGGTGTTTATACCAATTTTTTGCTTGCTTTTTAAAATAAAGTGCCTGTATTTGTGTTCTCCATATTTTAGAGTACAATCTCATTCAGTACATTTAGTTTTATAAGTCATGAAGCCAAATCTTTGATGGGCTATATCAGAGGCACAAAGTCTAGAATGTGTATATTCACAATGGTGTACATTTTGTGCCTTGAATGTGTATTGGGAAACCTGAACAGTTCCCACTATCTTCATAAAAATTTTATATGTATTTATGAAGATGATTCAGTATTGTAGTAAATCTTGGGCATGGACTAATTTTGCACCTCTTCATACTCGTATTCTGCACAATCTGTATATATCACATCAAATTTAGAGGTATGACCTTAAATTTAACTTTTAAAAACTGGTGATAATATCTACAATGCAGAGCTAAAATGAGAATTAGAGATGATAAGTGTGAAGTGCTCATATAGTTCCTGGCACATAAAAGGTAAAAAGTAATTGTATCAGACTCTCAAATCTACTAAATAAATACTTGCTTGGCCAACTTGGGCAAGTCTCTTTATTTCTGAGCCTCAGTTACTACACTGAAATATGGAAGAAAATCTCCCCTTATCTCACAAGACATTGGGAGGACCAACTAGATCATGCATTATTTATACCTTTAGAAACCATAAAGAGGCACAAAGCATTATTCTGATCATTAATCTTCATTAAATTGAAAATACTGTTTATGAAAAGTGTACTCTCTAAATGCAAAGAAGTATGTGGTTATCCCAAGTCTATTACCTGCCATTAGTAAGATGTTTATAAGCCATCCTGGAAAGTCTGCTGCTCAGAAACACTGAACATTTCAAAAAAAAAAGCACTCCTTTCCACTACTATCTTCAAACCAGTTTTTCAGCCAGCATGCACTACTTACACAAACAGGACCTAAATGCTGAGGGAAATTCATACAGAAAATCAGTTTCTGCCCTTAAAATACATACTTTGTTTTGCTTAGGATAGAATTTTTGCATAAATGGAGGACAACATAAGTCTGTATTCCAGGAATGACTAGCAAAAGACATAGCATCTGTGAATGTGGTTTATGAAAATCACTTCTGAGACTTCGTAGACACAACTTAAAGAAGGAGACTGGAAATTGAGGTGCTGAACAACTCTTAAGTAACTGGATCCAAAGAGCTTCCAAGTTGATGAACACATCAAAGTGCCAGGAGGATGGTGTGCTGAAGAGAGAATGGAAAACTCCTTCCCCCACATGCCTTGCCCTATTAATTTCTTCCATTTTTCTGTTCCTAAGTTGTACCCTTTATAATAAGCTTGTAAACACAAGTAAAGTGTTTTCCTGAGTTCTGTGAGCCATTGTAGCAAATTTTTAAACATGAGGAGTTGGTCATGAGAACTCTACATTATTGGTCTATGGACGATTGTTAGGAAGTATGGGTAGCCAGAACTTGTGATTAGCACCTGAAGTTGGAGAAGTCTTGTGGGAATGAGTCCTTTAACTTGAAAGATCTGAGGCTAACTCTGGATTGATAGTATCAGGATTAAACTGAATAACTGAATACTCAATTTGTGGCTAAAAAGTGGAGAATTGTTTGGTGTTGGGAAAGA